CCCTCAGGTCTCCGTAAGTTGTAGAAAATTGTATTTTTAAATTAATTCTACAAACATTTATTTTGTAAAATATACCTAATACCAACTGTCCATGTTTAGAGTTCAGTATATTTTAATTATTAAATTGTCAGTCGAATTTTGGTTATTTTTGTCATTCCACTCCCCAGTTTAGTTACCATCACAAAATATTAAAATAATAATAATAGAAAATTGTTTGAACGTCGGAAATGTTTGATACCTAAAAACTATTTATAGATTTATTCGAGTCCAATATTTACAGATTTACCCGTCGTTGGTGATGCTATGAGTATTTCGATCACGCAATCACCATTTATAGAACCACTAGTTAATATTTATTTCGATTTTGAAATTTTATAAATTTTGAGATAGGTATTTGACACTTTTAAACATATAAATATTTTTTTCACCATCAACATGTCCCCCCCCTCTATGCAGATTTTTTTGACTTGAGGGACCCCAAAAAAAATTGTGCACTTGGCCCTAATTTTATTAAATCAGGCCCTGATAAATGGGAAGTATTAATGGGTCCTCGACGACAGACTAGACGATAACCACTGGAACAAGGTCAGGGTTTCGTTGTTACGAGCGTCGTAGTCTTGTGCGTTATAATAGTGTGTGACCGATAGAGCCGTGTCACCGCGATGGAATTCGATAGCGGTCGACCACCCTAGATTACGCGCGGCGTCCGTCACCGTTTGACCACGGCTACGAGCGTGATTGAGATAACGCGCACAAAACCACCCGTGGGTCAATACGAGCGTTATTGGTCTGCAGTCTTCGGTAATGCAATATAATTACTTAAACGTATACATACGACGACCTCGACGTTAACGAGTTACAGTGGGTTACATATAAATTACGTTGAACCAATTAATTGTAGACCCAACAATTATTCTATAACCTCATTTCATTTTCGAATCGGAATTTTTCATGCTAGACTTTGTGATAGTATAAATCACGTGTATGTGCTCTATTACTGTATGTTTGACATGTTAAAATTCCATCCGAAGTTTCCATCAATTAGACGAGAGTTTCGAATTAGGAAATCCGTGACATTATATGTAAACGGTATTGCCTATAAACGTATACGTGAAATGCATTTATGACAAACTACACACTGATTTTTCTCTCGAAATGGTCAAACATACACTGCGAATTGTGAATAAATTAAAATTAATAATAATCGTTTACTATCCGTACACTATTACCTGTAAACTATTGACGTACGGACCACGGTTTATATTTTATTTAAAGTGGTTAAACTAAAACTTCTTTATCGCTCATCAATTATAAATCATTCCAGCAAGAGAGATTAAATAACTAAATTATTTATTAGAGAACAATAACTTCATTGTAAAATAAACAAATTGTTTATACAGCAATATCAAGAAACATATCGATGTTGAAGTATCCTTAAATGTGTATACATAAATAATCTAATAACGAAGCATTTATGTTTTTCGAAATTATCTAACCACGAGGTCACCAACCCATCGATTGCGATCTTTAGCGAAATATAGATCAATCGTAATAAAAATGAATTATGCCATTATAAATTTATACTATTTATGTTTTTTTTTTTTTTTATAAAATTTAAAAAAGTTACATGATTTGTTTTGTAAACACTAATGTAATATGATATCATGTGTCAACTATCACAAATTTAAAATATTTTATGTAGCTAGACGTAAATAGGAATGCTTATTAGCTATGTATAAAATCTAATAAACAAATTCGAAAACATAATTCACAATAAACTATATACATTATAAATCACTTTTGATCGAAATTTAAAAAAAAATATCAACTGTAGTAAGAAAATAACATTTACGATTTTTTATTTTTTAACTGAATATTTTACGGAAGAAACAAATACTAAGATTGGAAAAAAAAATAGTAAGATTTTTAACCAATGAAGTTTCCATTTTTAAAATGTCACTGTAGGAAATTTCATCATGTTACCTTCCCACAAATTTAGTTTTAGTCGAGCGTTTAAGTCTTCCGAGTTTTCATCTCACAGAGCCCATCATTATTCGTATGTATTATAATAATACATATAGAGTCATAGCAATGGATGGAGAAGTACCTACGTCCTGGGTGAAATTTCTGAGAGGGTGTAAAAATGAAAAATTTGCATTTTAAGTTAAAAATTATAATGTTCAATGTTGTATATTATATTTACAAAAACTTCCACGTATGTATTAATCAATTGAAGAAATTGTTGAAAATAATATCTAATAATTATAATACTTTTAAACTACAAATACATAAGGGCGCATTTTGAAGTTTCGTTCGGGCACAATATTTGATTGCTATGGCATTGAATACATATATTACACGGGTGTTATACAGTTATGGATTATAAGTATATAATATGATTGTATACAGGAGATACTACATAAATTATTTACGGTAAATTAGCCTTTCATCGCACGTGTTTAGTTCTTCATTATCTAAATGTAAAATGTGCTACAACACATTTTGTTATATTATACTTAATAATATACAAAACTGAACTTTGACAGATATTATACCTAATTTGACTAAACGACTATTAACCAGCATATTTCGATACACTCACAATTGTAAAATATTCACACGTCATTACCCACGCTTGTAAAACTCCTACATTCAGTGGTTACACAGGTATATACGATTTGCCTGTATGCTATATTGTTGGTCATCGTATCGAAAAAAAAGTACGCTACACCGGTATTTGTATAAAGATTATTGAGCACTATTATTCACTTGGAAATTCTCAAGTACACGTGAAATTGAATTTATTTATTAGTTAATATTTAAAATATTTACACATATCGACTCGTCTTAAATTGAGTATAAAAGTCATGAAGACAAAATAAAAATATACAAAACAAAATGATTTTGTACATACGTGTAAAAATGTAATGCATTAGTTAGACCATAAATATAATTGTTCGCAATTCTCGGAGAAAACTAGTAATGACAATTACCTCAGTAATATTCAATTTATTTTCATTGAAAAAATTCAATTCAAAGTAATCACTTTTATGACTTTGTATAAATTTTTTGAATTTTTTTTTTGATATAATATAAATTACTATGCGTAAATATAAAGTTACCTACATTTTATTAACTTCTATAACTTTTCTAGGGCACAGTTAAAGTATACAGTAACATTAATCACTCTATCCACATTCTCAGTACTAGCGATATTACATGTACAATATATTATTACAAAATACAATAATTATAACTACAAAGTACGTAACACAATTGCATATTTTAAGTTAAAATATCATTTAAAAAAACCAATATAATAAAGCATCACAACTATGTACCTAGATGTTGCTCGAAATATTTATTTTTTTCACTACCTCATACACATTTTTATAAACTTTTGTTTATTATTTATAACAGTGGCGTGGTGAAAGTATTATTTTGGAGCATTTGCAATCCAAATGTTTGGAGGTTGGTGGTTCCCCTACCACAAAATACCTAGCCACATAGGTGACTAGGTATATCGAAGAAAATAAAAATGTACTACGTATATAAATGTCTCTTACTATGCAACCTACTTCACACATCCTACAGCATAAAAACTATTGTCCCGTATAAACTCTTATAGTTCAAATTAGTAGTAAATTAGTTCGCCGAAAACATCGATCCATCGATGCAGATAATCGTCGTCGGACGGTAACAAATTCATTATTAGGGAAACACAGATAATCCGTTGGTTTCTAGAAATTCACTCAACGACTGCGATTGTTTATACTCGCGTGATATAATTACAATGCAGAATCCTTGGCATCTATACTGCCAAAAATATTTTATAAAAATTACACAATATTCTAAAAATAAAAGACTATTTCAAGATAACAATAATGAGAACTACAAAAAATGTGATATATTATACTCACTGTATTATTTTTAAGTGATAATAAAAATTTGATGCACAAGTGTGCTATACATGGTTCATTATATAAATAGCAACTGGTGCTAACTTATAGCTATACCAATGTTAGCAAAATTATTAAATCTACGTATACATACACTACATAAATCAAGGTATAAAATAATTAATGAGTGTAATAAATTAATTAATTTAGTTGGGACATCTGACAATAAAAATCCCTCTACAAATATATGCATAAATTGCAATTTTTCAATTATTTTGTTCGTGGTGGAAATGATATTAGGATGGATAAGAATGGGGTAGATATCTTGTATATATTTTTACTTCCCACCAGAAATGAGTTGAACACGCCACTGGTTTATAAATTGTAACTTAGTTTTTATCTTCTGCGAGCATTGATCAATCTCTCGTGCCCTTATCGTCGTAGCAGCAGCAGAAATATTTCTGTCGCTGCCATGTTACTACATACGTATTATATACATACAAGAGATATAACCAATTGTCCGCGGGGGCGCGTGATCTTTGAAATTGATTTATGCAGTTATGTACTGCCATGTTCGTAGACTATAGTATAGCCAACAGAAATAATTGTTATAAATGATATAATATCAATTATCCATACACAACATATTCCCCTAAAGATAATTTATGGAAAACGAAGACATTGAATGTATTCCGATTTGTGTAATTACTGAACATTATTATTTCTATCCGAGCACTCATAGTCAGCATAAATATAGAATACATAATAATAATATCCATCGAATAAAAAAATATAATACGCTTTAAGGTAACGGAATCATAGACACGATCCAGAGAGATTTTAATAAACGCATTTGGAAGTTTTCCGAGCACAACTGATTCTAATTTTACTTAACCCTGACAACATTACCGTGCGAGGTTTATATCTATTGTTCTATTTTTAAAACTGCGTGAAGAATACGTACGAAAATGACGAGACTTGACGGACATTTTTTTGTTCGCTCAGTCACAACACGTCTACGTACGTTATGCTAATGCGCATTTGTACTCGAGTGAAAAAACAAAATAAAAAAAAAAAAAAAAACGTTCAGCAAAAACTAACCGTCATCTTGGTCGCGGTCGTTGTCTTCGTCCGCGTTCCGGTGCCGATGGTTGCGTCGCATCCGACGATGGTCCGCTGCAGTGTCGTGTCCGCCGCCATCGTCGTCGTCTCCGTCGTGACGACGCTGTTGAACGGTGGTCGCGATGTCCTCACCGACTAGGCTTCGGATGGAAAACACCGATTTGGCGGGCCTACCACCGGCACCGCTACGTCGGCGACCGCTGCCGCCGTCGTTGGAGTCGCCTCCGCCGCCGGAATTAGCCCGCGTACTCAGATCCATCACTACGGCCGCGCAATGGTTACGAGTCTCCGAAGCAATCATCGCGGCGATTGCGCGGGCACTGCAGATGGCATTTATCGGTAGCGCGTACACCCGCGACCTTTGAGGTACGCGCGCACGGTGTTTGTTCTTATTGGTATCGCGCCGCGTTACGTTCGGGGACGCGTGAAACGAGAGCCGACGGCGAATGCACCTGAACGAAACAACGGACGAACGGACTCTACGCGATACGAGAAAAGCAATGATATGTGTATGTGAGCGAAGCACACGCACTGCGCCGCTGATGCACTGGTCCCGACGGTGTACACGCAACGCGCGCGCGAGACGGACTATACGCAACAATCGGTACGCAACAGCGAACTGCCGGCTGACTGGCCGGTACGGCGAACGGGAACACTACACGCGCGTACAACGGACGCGCCCGCGACGTGGTAGTGGTGGTGGTAACCATGGTGTCCGTCCGGAGGAGGAGCGCGACCGGGACCTCCGCCGCGGAGTTGACGTGCCGTGACGGTGCCGACCAATCGGCTGTGTCGGACGGCCAGTAACCGGATATTCCTACTCCGACGCGGAACCGCGTGAAACCGCGTACGCTTTTCGGCCGACGGTAGCGTCTGAATTCTAAGGGCATTTCGTGGAAGGAGGCGCGTAGTGGGGTTATGCGCATGTATCAATCGTTCGAATCTAGCATTTAAAGCATTTCGTTACATTCTTCGTACTTGACTTTAACTTATTAACTCTACGTATTTCGTTATTGATAAATCAACTTAACTCATTCATTCAACTCATTTCCTTACAAATTAACTTGAAATTAACGGATTATTTTTTCATTCATCCCAATTAATTTGATTTTGATTTTCGAGACCAGTAAAATATTTTTGTAAAATACCGCAATCGATATCGAGTTCATGGAATTTAGAAAAATATAAAAATAAAAATTTCGAAGAATTTTTTGATGAGACCGTAATATTTATCTCGGTATATATTAATATGGGTATTACCGGTCACGGGAAAAGTACTCGACCGTCTTCAGGCTATTGAATAAAAATAGCCATGCCACCCATAAATTACATTACCGTTGTCATGAAAAGTGGCCGTAAATCTATACTACAAAAATAGGTACCTACATATTATCATTGACTAAATAATTCTTAATAATAATTGTACTCTATTATTATTAGAATTATTCTATAATCTATGATATTATTAAATATCATTTAATAAGAAATTTAATAGCTGATCAACATTTTGAGATGACTCTTTTATTTTGATTACGGCACATTTACATGGTGACAGTTCGAGCATTATTTAAAATCGGATGAGATGGTTAAGTTTTTGAATCACTTATTTTCTCTTATTATAGATACTATGTGGTTTGATCATAAAACATTAGAACCAAGAAACAAATTTTAATTTTATTATAAACAACTTTTATTTAAATTTTACAGTAATAGTGTCAAAGCCGGGTGTTGTTCATAGCCGCAAACTTTCAAAGACAGGTCATCGTTCAAAACCACACACCTTTATATCTTAATCCCACATATTTTCGCCAAATTAAACCGTTCAATACCGCATAAATTATTAAATGTATTACGTATACATTTATCTAAAATAATATGAGTGCACTTCGGAACCGAACGGGGTTACTCGCTCGTTCGGACAGATAAAAAACGAAAATATCCCCCGATTTGCTATGTAACATCACCCCAAATAGGATCCAGGATAAAAAAAAAGATTTTGTGTGGGACTCATACGAAACCGACAATTTGAACTGTACATGCAAAGTGTGTAAAGTGAAAGGAACTGTTACCCAAATGTGTGTGGTTTTGAACTGCCGACCTTTCAAATTTCTTTTTTTTAACAATAGAATACCGCACATATTTATGTGCAGTATTGAACGATGTAAAATGTGCGGTTATGAACGGTAAGTATGCGGTTTTAATGACCACCACCAAAACCGTACCGAGCCATTTTTTAACCTGAGGCAGAACTAAAGGCGCCTCCTAGGTTGTAGGGTTGTTACACTCACAGCTGTTAAAATGAGTAATACGTTTCGGAAAAATCTGAAAAATTGTAATTAGGTTGCTATCAAAACAAGAAATAACATTTCTTAAAATAAGTTAATTATTTAATATTTTTGCGTCCTCCAGTTTCAGGCGCATAAGGCAAGTGCCTCGCTCGCCTCATTCTAGTTACGGCTTTAGATAGTGCTTTAAGTTCTGTGTGTTGTAGATTTCACTGCTGTAGTGCACAAAAAAATATCTATGTACTATAGTTGCAGAGGGAGAGTGTAGTCAATCTGTTTACCTTTTAGAACTTTAGAGTTTATTATGCTGTAGTGTAGACTATAAGTAATAGTTTTGAATATTATAATAGTATTTAGTATTATAAAAAAAAAGTTTACTATAAAATAAAATTCAGTACATACTCAAAATCATCACGGATTATTGCACATAACTGTATAAAATTAAATCCTTTAAAAAATTAGAGGATTCGCATATTCATAAATTCATAATATTAAATATTCACCGATAAAAATGAACTTCACGGTCAACGGCAGTCGTAGCTTAGAAGAATAATAAAAATACGAATGTGTCAATTATTATGATTTTTTTTATAATATTGAAAAATGTATTCGAAGTAGATTAAATCACACGTGAGATTAAGATTAGTCTATTACCATAAGAAATATATTATCATATATTAAAAGTACATGATCTATATGGTCTATCTTTAATAATGACTTTTTGAAGTTTTATCGGAAATACTTAAATATGTCTCATGCCTCAATAACTTAATCTTGATTAACTCAATTCAACACTAAATTTTATTATTTAACGTTGAAAAAAGTATATGCATTGAAAATATATGTATATTTAAAGACAAAATAATTTTAACATATTACCCATATGCTGATAGCATAACACCATATTATATTAACTAACACAAATTGTCCGTGCATAAAATGTTAATTGCAGCGTGTATTCTTAACATATACAATGTACTTTAATTAAAATTCCCGGTCTTTAGTAAGGTTCTTATCACCCACACATTTAATTGTTATGTAGGGGCTTCTTCTTATTCAAAACAAATATTATGATTATAAATTATAGGTGACATGATTTATTTTAATTACCTCTATCGGTATTTTTAATTTGAAAAGAATAAAAATGGTCAAAACAAATGTGTTTATAGTTCAATATAAAATTTATTTTTTGGTCATAACGTATAAGAGATATAAAGTTATAAAGTGAACATTGGTTTAAATACAAACTTTTTGAATTAGGTACAGATATGTATGACTCATATAGTAATAATTAGGAATAATATATAAATTATTGTATATTAATAATTTTAATTTATTATTGTAAATATTAACTCCATAAAACTGTATTATTATTTTAAAAAACCGTAACAAGTATTAATTTGACATTGAATGTATTGCCCAATAAGAAATAAGTCGAAATAATGTTTATTTTAAGCCTGAAGGAAATGTGGTTTTGTATTTTATATAACATATTATAAAAGTGTTTAGTGTGAGCAATTTCGATCATAAACTAATAACAATTTGTGTGTCAAATGACAATTCGTAAAAAAAGACTTAAGTTAATGATTATTATTTATTATTTTCATTAATGCTAGTTAGAAGCAGAGGTGTGGCGAGCTAGGTACGTGCTTAGAGCGGCACTTTAGTAGAGAAAACTTAAATTATTAAAAATTATTTACGATCAAATATATCTCAATACCGATTAGTCAATCTTTCTACTAAAAAGGAAAATTTTTGAAGAATTAGACATGGATAATCTTATACAAAGCTTTATTTTACTAAAAGCAAGAAAAGTCAATTTTAAATAAAGTTGAGTTAATTTTATTTTATTTTATCAATATTATAATTATAATAATTTGTTTAATTTTTAAGATTATAATGAAGGTTTAATTATTTGAAAGATTAAAATGAAAAATATTTTAAAAAGCAATAAATATTTTATTACATGAATTCCTAATTTCAAAATATATGTAAATACCTAATGAATTTACAATAAATTCTATAACTTTACAAATTTGACGTTAAAATAAAAAATATATAAAAATATCCCGTTAGTCTCAAAAATATTTGTTTAAATAAAAAAATAAAATATTTTTCATATAAGTATTTCTCATAAAAAATATTGGGAAGGGCTAAGTTAAAATCAGAGCTCAACTTTTATTTTTTATTGAGGTAACATAATTTAATTTTGCCTTGTGCACTATTTTTGCTTTAACCGGCCTTGGGTAGGAGCAGTTAATTACTATCATTTTTTTACCTTTAACTCTCAATGAAGATATGTAAATACGAATGTCAAAACTGAATTAAACTAAATTAGTTTCAAATTAGATTCAATATTTCAGTCTAATTTGGATTTTGAAAGAATCTGGGTCGTCCTAGGTCGTAAACTTAAAACAAGTAAATGTCTAAACTAATTGAAATCCATAGGTATTAAAAAACTATTACATTTTGTATTTATGAATTATTAACGAAAAACTCCGCGTTCATTTCGGCCGACATGAAACAAACCAGTGTACATAGACAGATACCGTCTGGTAATGATATTGTACTCATACAACAATGACGGAACGGTTATTAACAGCGGCCTCCGAGTATACACACACACGTTAATTAATAATTATACGGACGCACGCGATTATGCCTGTTGTGTTCAGTGAAGACATTAATAATAATAATGATATTATTTTTATTTTTATTATTGTTGTAATAATTATATATTTATATACATAGTAGATGGGTCGTGAACACTCACGATTAATAATAATTATTAGTCGTTTTGTTTTTTTTTTTTTTTCATCATATTTTAATAGACGGGTATGTGCATTAGTGCGGTGGGTAAATTTAAATATTAATATTAATAATAGGTGATATATTATGTATACACTAATATAGGTACACGTAAATTATATCGCTGCAGGCGATCGCCGCGCAACAACACCCGTGGCGATGACAAAAGCGCAATCGCATACTTATTGTTCTAAAATAATAATTAATTAAGGTTATGATAATAAGTTGTTGACTGACGATTTGTTTTCTGAGCAAAACATGGAACATATTTATTATTGTTATTTCAAAGGTTTTTTTTTTTTTTTTTTAATACATTTAAATCTTCATCGGTTATTTACGAAACATAAGAAAATTAGGATTTAAATGAAAATATTCAAGCATTTGGATTTGATATTACAACCTAAAATCATAGGCGGTCCCAGGATTTTATTTCAGATGCAGCACTTCTAATTTACACATATAGACATACACATTCCTATACCACACACACACAAATAGAATATATATATATGTACAAATTTCATTCAATTTTCCTACT